CTCCTCCTCCTCCTCCTCCTCCTCATCTTCATCATCATCATCATCATCATCATCATCATCATCATCATCATCGTTATTAGCAACAGAAATAGGTTACTGCTAGACAAAAGCCACATTTTCCTTGCAACAGATAAGGACACTAGAATTCCTGAATAAGAAGTATTCAAGGCAGACCATACTTGTTACAGGCATTAATTTTGGGGGCAGGGTTCCTGATTCGCTCCCCGTTCAAAACTAAGTCACGAATCACAATCACCACTCCTCCCCCTCACATCACCCACCCCCCGCGACAGTATGGGTATGGCTAATGGATGAGGCAGTAGCAGTGAAATCGAATGGTCTCTATTATTCTAGTGCATTCACGCGTTGTGTGAAGTAAGCCTAGGCACCGCTTTGCACCTAATTTGTACTCTCTCGCAGGTCCAGAACAAGGCGTAGACTGAGCACACACACACACACACACACACACACACACACACACACACACACACACACACACCTTTTCCCCGCTGCTCTCTGTATTTGTTTGTTTTAAAACTAAGCTGACCAGTGTGCTCTGCAGAGAAAAAGAGACACTAAAACTGCAATACTGGGGATCAGTGGGAAAGAAGAATTCGTGGAGAAGGAAATTGTCTATGAACATTTTATTTTGTCAAGTGAATCAGTCTTAAACTGTTCCACTTAAAAGACATATTTCACCTCTGCCCTCTTTGATTTTCATCTCACATTAATCATGGATGTGCAACGTAAGTTATTTGCATAAGAATTCAACTGTTTTAGAAGGTCTCGATGGCAGTGTATTGTTATAAAATACTGAAGTTGAAGACACGGCGTTTCGGTGGGTTGTCACTTGGGCCGCGGAAATTTGTGTCCTTAAATTCAGCAATACACGATAAACCAAGCTCAAAAACAGGGCTGTGAACAGTGTCTAAGTTTGTGATAGTGTGTATTATTCCTGCATTCATGTATTAATGTACTTGTGGGTTTATACACGCTATTACAAAACGAATTTCCTCAGGGGTAAATCAAGTGGAATTTATTTTCATATTTATTTAATACATTGACGCAGTGGTAGCAAGACTGTAGTGATGGTCGAAAGCAATATTTTAAGTGTATGATCTTAGCCCTAAGCTCTCAGCTGTCATGCTGAAGGCACGTGGCCAGCTAGTTTGGAGTAAGAGTAAAGCCCGGTTCGGCTCGGTTCGGTTTCTGTCGGCTTCAGTGCACACTATAGAAAGACCCCTGCCTCAAACCGATCGCCGACTGGCGGCCTTGAAAACAATCGCATTTGTGAGGTGTGCCGACAAAATGAGTAACTTCTCGGATTTGAGCATTATGAAAATTGATACACCAACTTGATAGGTGAAGTTTGTACAATTTGTGAGCATGGAATAGAAAAAGACACAGTGAACTTGAACAAAATGAAATCAATTGAAAATATATAAATCTGACCCCAGTGCGGATATTCAGCCGATATCTCCTTTCTTGGATCGTGAGAAGTAACTCATTTTGTCAGCACATTTCACATTTGTTCTTGAAGGTCAGCTTTGCTTTCGTCCGGCGTCTGCCAAACTGGTAGTATTTCTCTCCCCCCC